GCAAACTTTTAGTATACAGAACACGGGATAGTAGATAATGTCTAAGTTGGCATCATTTGAACCGATTTTAAAAGGAAATAGTGATTATATATCTCTATCTGGAGTTTTGGCTGTGTTTTGACCTGAAGAGTTTAGGTCTGTATTTTAAATAGCTCACTGTCTTTGGCTAGAGCAGATGTCAAATTATGGATGAAGTTGGTGATACAGCCTTTCCCAAAAGGCCCATGTATCACAGTACCCCAGGCAAGCCCATCAGATGTTTTCAACACATAGCCTTAGTATTTTAAATTCTGTAAGAACTGTGTCCAGATAAAAAGGCAATAACAGATAATGCATTCTGGACATGGAAACATAGCATCACCTGAGGGGATAGGAAGTGTAAGTTACCTTGGAATCTCAGCTAAAGGGCCCCACGTTTTATTAAACCTGGAGTTGTGAGTGCGTAGGTGTTGGATTACACACATCAATAGGAAAAGAATGATTTCTGGAGGCACTTATGGAGAGATTTTGAATTATGGCACTTATCAAGCCCCAGGGAGAACTTTGGCAAGTTTTTGAAATGCACTCATGAATTCCTCATGTAGTTCTTGGAGACAGCTACAATGACTGAAGCTTGAACGACCTTTTGCTGTTTCATCACATGTGATCCCCTGTGTAAAAGCCAGGGCTTCTCTAGGCAGCAAAATGTGCACCCTGCAGAGCACAAGTCCTTGCTGTCAGTGGCTTACACATCTCATGGCTTGTAAAAATGCTTCTTCAGTAACCGTGTCCATACTACTTGGGTGAAAATCTGGCCACATTTAAATCAGTGCAAAAATTCAAAAGACTTCATGGGACCAGTATATCATTCTAATGCTTTTGGTTAGCATCTGAATTCAATGTTATGGAAAAAAGATAAAAACAATTAGGACATGAAGAATCTCTTCAAGGGTAGAAGATTTTGTTCCAAAGAAACACTGTTGAGCAAAAACATAAACACACGGATATCCGACCTTTTAAAAGTATGGAGAGGGAAGAATGAAAAAGATTTCCTGACTGTAGATTCTTCATCCCCAGACATACTCCAAACAGATTAAACATACATCCGTCAGAAATGGTTTAGCTGCCTTAGGGTTAGAGACTAGATGATATCTCGAGGTTCTCTCTAGCCCCATATCCTATTACATTTTCTCTGTAGGCAAACACATGCGTGCACTTATGGGAGAGGAGGTCCTTGGTTACAATTAGTACTCACCATTGAAGTAAGTCACAAGAGGAACTATTTACAGCCTCTCTCCCTACATGTCTTTTTAGTGCTATGCTGCAGTTGTTGTGTGTCTATCTTGCAGCTGAGAACAATTTTCAATCACTACCATGTTCTCAAAATGCAGTCCATGAATCTAGAATGGACATTTATTCCATGTTTCTACTTAACTATTTCAGAATAAGTAGCACTCTCCAGAATTGGAGACAATTAATTATTATGAGAAAAACAATGGAAAGCTCAAAAAATATAAGAAAGATTCCATACAACACATATACATTAATTGGAGAGTGCATGTGACTGTAAAGTTTCTTCTGGAAGAGAGGATGGCATAAATCTTTAATATTAACCATTAAAGCTCTGACGTTTTCCATTAACAGAGATAAGTAAGAAGCTTTGTAGATGAAACTCTGGTCTGCAACAAGACCAGATTTATAGGTTTGCATTCTGCTTGTGTAAGTGAAAACACTCCTACTCCCTTGCCTGTTAAACTGAACATAAACTCTAGTACAGTGTTTTCACTTAACAATCCATCTTGATAGGTTTAAAGCTGTCACAGGGAAAATTTCAATTGATAGTTTGCATGACAAAACTTGTTGCATGCTCTCTTCAGCACACAAGGCACATGAAAGAATACCTGACCATGTTATCCATAGGGTGGGGGGTCATTCAACTGAGTCCTATTTTGGATACATTTTAGTTAAAAATGTCATGACAATTTTTATGATTTTTTTAGAATATCATAAAATGAAACAGTAAGCAAAATCAGATTGTTTCAGAATTCTAATTAAAAATATTAGGTCTTCTTTTAATCAGCATTTGGGTATAAATATATTTAAAACTAATTTGACTAACAATTCAGATAATATTAGAGCAATATCCCATAAAATTACCCAAGGCTATCAAACTTGCATTTTATTTAAAACTTACTGGATTAATCTCAAGCTTCAGCACTTTCCCTAAAACTACAAACATAGACATCTACAAAATTAGGTATTAGGTTGGACAATGGCTAGCTACTGCCTAAACCCAATAGGGCCAAGAGAGAGGGGGCACCAAACTTTTGCAAGCACAGGAAGAGCTACTTTTCTCCAAACAGGCATTCTTAGATAGCCCTGTTTGGTGGGATCCTGCCTGGAATAGCTGTAAAAAACTACTGGAGACATGGTGTTGCAGATTTATGGTTAGTGTACTTGCTGTGGCAAACTTCAGGTTGCTGTAACCAGTTCCAGGGGAGCTTTTCTGTATTTATTAAGAGTTCATTGGATTAAATATATAGCATGTCCACATATAGTCATGGTAATGAAACAGTACAGTATCACCTAAACATGTGAGTTTGCTTTAAATGAGTTCACACACTTCTATCAGTTTAGCTGTTGCACTACAGAATTTCCCGCTTTTAGCTGTTACCTTTGTAACTGAAACGTAGACATACCTGACAAAATGCTCCAGGGAGCAGGAAACAAGTCTCCCTTTCTCTTTTGTAATTACTGACTCAGGAAAACAAGACTGAGAATAAAGCCAGATTGTTATGAAGCATATTCCCACAAGGCCTGCAGCCTCTATTTAATAGTATATGTGCACAGAGCAGCTGCGTGTTTGTGTTTTTAAATATTGCATAAAGGTTTTCAAGATAAGGATTTGCTCAGAGAAATCTTAGAATGGATAATATTTCAAAAGAAATTGTTTCATTTTAATAACCTCTGCAAATAAAATCTCCAATTCAACTTCTGCCTAGAGCTATAGACACCATGGTAACTAGAAGTCATTCTATCAAATCTGCCAGATAATGAAATTACTTGATTCAGGACCGTACTGAAGGAAAACCATTAATATTATTAAGCTATTGAAATTAATAGAGATACATTAGGACTGCTTTTATGATTATTCAGGTGATACATCAACAATGTGAAACTTAAATGGGAAGCAGCAGAAACACATACAGTAATAAAAACCATTTAATCATAAATTGATATTTGAAAGACAGCTGTTTATTAGGCAAGCTACATCCATTTTCATATACTGACACTAAAATGCTTGTATCTTGTATACTATGTCCCTACATTACTACATTAGAAAATGCTCTAAATGAGATGTAAACATACAGCTAGAAAATTGTATCTGTTTATCATGGCTCTTCTATTTCCAATCAAAAATAAGAAGTAAATACCATTAGCAATGACCCATAAAGTATCTCTCTAAGAAGTGCTAAACCACTCTGTTCCACACAGCCAGAAGAAAGTGCTTTGCTACACAGCTTACACTGAACTTTTTATGATGGCTTTGAAGTGCTGCCTAGTTCAGAGTCAAAACAAAACAAAAATCCCACCTTGACACTCTCACCAAACTGAGTAGCAAGAATGTGCACAACTGACTCTCAATTCAAATGGGCTACACAGAGGCAGAGTTGATTCCATTAGCAACTAGCAAATAGATACCACCTCTTGAAGCCACAGAGGTCGGAAAAAAAAAAAAAAAAAAGGAAAACTCCTCAGAGCTTTCACAGGTGAAAACAAGTTTATCAGCTAGGCCTTCCAGTGGCGTGCCAAGCTGCTGTTGTTCCTCCCCGACCCCCCTGAACCCAGCTGATAAGACATACCCCTGACCAAACCACTCTGCACCTATCCAAAAGTGTCCTTCAAGTTCTGCTACGTGTAAGAGATTCTAAAACCAACATGCTGCTGAATTCTAATTTCTTTATCAATGTGTTTTGGGCAATCTTAGTTCCATGGAAGGCATTGAGATCTTTCCCAGGATTAAATGTAGTCACAATTTCACCTGGAATCTTTACAGCAGGTGATAATGGCATGAAACAGAAAGAATGGAGCCTCGTAAGATGTTCAGTGAAATGAGTGGAAGACAAAAAAAAAAAAATAGGCAGATCAATCATATATTTTTCAGCTGTGTCAAGGTGAAATATGAAACACAGGCCACTAAGAAAAAGTAAAACCCATGAAAAGGGGATATTATTTTCACGGGAACATTTTACTAAGCATAACTGACTGGATGCAACACATCAATGTTGCCCATGGGCAATATATTGCCCCATATTCAAATGAGTCTTCAAGCATATTTCAAATATATGTAACATATTTTCTTCACTGATGATATATTGAGTAAAGCCCCTTCCTACAGTGAACATCAAGGAGCCAGGGGGCTCCAGTATGCTAAGCAGTTGACATAAAGGAAGACTATGCTGCGACAATACGTATAGCAACTACCTGTTCTTCAGTTCTTCCTTGATCAGCTTCCATGAGCAAGGCGGACCATACACTTTTTAAAATACTTTTGAACTGTGCTAGTACTGTATATTTCTGAAAGGGGAAAAAAAGTTCACACTGTGGAACACTCAGAGAACTCATTTTTATTTCTTAAACAAACAGGTGGTTAGTTATACTCTTTTTTTCATAGTCGCGAGCAATTTTTTTATATCATTGTGTCTAAGATACAGAAACGCAGCATACATAACTGAAGATCAAAGAAACAGGAAACACACTCGACAGAATTAACAGATAAATGAAATCAGTAAATGCAACTGCCACATTCCTTCAGTTGGTATCTGTGCATAAGCATCTTTTAAAACTCCAAGCACACAGCATACACCAGTTAGCTTATTGCAAGCAGCAGCTTTGTTTCAATAATCCATATGGGTAAATAACGTTTTATCATATATATGAAACTCCTTTAGGTGCTTTATTTTTGCATGCAGGCTTCGTTCCATATTGATACGATCCCTTTTTAACAGAGTCTTTATTTGTTTTAAAGATCAAAGTAGGTGAAGGCAATACAAAGCTGTGTGACACAGGCAACACCTGTTTTGGCTACCCGCACACATACTCCTTCACTCTCCCCCTTCCTGACCTCTCGCTGCAGGTGACTATGAGTGAACAGCTAGTTCTCTGTGAGACCTGAATGGGACATACATATTGGCAGATGTGGGCGAATACTTTAATGTTTATTAATCTAAAAAAGAGTAAAGATTACAAAAATATAAGGAGTAGAAAAACCTTAGACAAGTTAAAATACATAAAATCTCTAGGCAAAGTTTATTTTGACCAGGCAGTTTAGTTTATCAAATGTCAATCCAAAGTAACAGGGGTATATACTAAATGAAAACATTACAGTAACTTTATACTAAAAGGCAACAGTTACCCTTCTTTCCTAAGGCCACTGTACCACAGTAAATACTCTGCTTCAATGCATTACAGCATCCACATATTAGAGTAATTCCACTTACATATCACCGATACTAGAATAATAACTTGATTTTAAATGATTATGTATAACCTAAAGTAAATTTTCAGGTGTAGTTTTGATCATCATTATTTTGTTTTAATTAAACTGTTCTTCAATAATCCCACTGATTTCACAAACCTGTGAAATCAAAAAGAAAAACACAGAAATTAGAGCTGAAATTTAAGGTGTATAAAGACTGGATATAGGGGAAGATTAATCCTTTGCTGCATATGTCTTCTTAAAAAAGTTTTACATAATACTGAACTCACAGTAAAATAAGCAAATTGGATCAATATTTTGATGAATCTGGATTCTTTTCTACTAGGAAAGAGTTCAGAAACCAATCACAGCTTCTTTATCCTTTTCTTTTCCCAATTATTTAGTGTTTTGAAGGTTCTTTTTTGCCATTTCTTCTTAAAATTAGTAATAGATTGAAAAAAATAAGCAGTGTTGTTAAAAGCATTAAACATATTAAATAACTGTGATTAACCAGATTAACTGAGAAAGCAATGTTTTCATTTCTGATTATATGTCCACATATTGAAAGAATTCAGGTTGAAAACCTTTCCCAAAGCAAAATGGAAATTTAGCTTTTACAAACATTTACATATCCATACCGAAGTAGATGTTTTGCAAATGTTTCTGACTGTAGCACACACACACAAAAAAAAAGACACAAAAAGTTATAGAAAATAAAGTAATGCTGCAGTTGGTCCTTGTACATGGATCCAGTTAGAGAATCTGGGTTATAAACAACCCAACCAAATTTAATTACACGGTCAAGGTCCATTAGTTAGCTCAGAAGCCTTCATCTTGCCCTTTTTAAACACTGAAGGAAGCAAGCAAAGACACTTCACATTTATTCACTCCTTTTGCATACACAAATATGTAACTTCATATTTGGGAGATCAAAGACACTTGTCAGGAACAAACTACTCTAATTATCTCCTTGTAATCAATTAAACACAATTGGAACAAGGTCTTTAGTTTCACTTTGCCAGGTGGTAAGCCTCAGTTTTGTATCTGATACTGCATTGTATTGATATATAACAGAGTAAGGTACCTACCTTGAAAAGCTGTCATCAAAAAAAGACATAAAGCCTGGGAAATTCTAGCAACATTTCTTGTCCTTTACTAACCTTGTTTGTACTTTTAGTCATTTATGTTTTATGTTTAACAACTGTTTTCCCTTGAGGTACTTCATTTAGCAGAGATTCAAGCATTGTCTCAATTTGATTTTTAAGTAACAAATTTCTCTTAAGGGGGGGAAAAAAAAGAAAGCTAAAATATGTAAGCCTGATTCATTTGCAAATTCTTCTCATGACTGCGCCCCACAAAACTCCGGGGACTGTGGTCTTCTCAGCTGCAGAAGAAAATGGGATCCCAGCCAGAAAATACATTCCATGCCATCCCATTACCATTAGAGAATTCATGACTTCTCATCAGTAGAAATGACATTAACAGGATCAAATCAACTTTGAGATGACATGAGATAGAAAAGGGTCTGGCTAAAAATGCAAGAGAGAAAAGAGACACCCTGCAGGGGAGAAGGGAGTCATTGCAACTATCCCAGTCCCTCCGCTTGGCCTAGATTCCCTTACTTTTTGATAGCTGAAGTTAGATGAGGCTGACAGTCTTATTTTTCCAATAGAAAAGAGAATGACAATAACACAAACAGGAAGCCACCACTGGTAAGAAAAATGGTTGAAAAACTACAGTAATTGTAAAGCACTTAAGATCAAAGCAAAAAGAATTGGGGCCTACCATTATGAGATATAACTTTAACTGGTAATTTTTCATAGTTTTGCTGTGAATTATCACATTTTGTCATCTTATTCCACAGCTAAGGAAAATGAGAAACAAAGAAATTAAGTGTTCCCAAGAATCTTCTGTAACACTCATACTGATACTATGTATTGCCAAGTAAGATCTGACCAAAATGAACGAAAGTCCAAGTTCAAGGATCAAGCCTCCTCTCTTCCTTTCATATTCGTTGACATATTCATCGCTTACTGACAGGGTTAATAACAGTCACAACTATTATGAATCCACTAAAAACATAACCTCTTTCATTACAAACTTTTTCCTACTTGAAGAAAAAATCCTTCCTTTTCATTATAAAGAGCAATCTCTATAGTTTTGGCTTAGAATAAATCTCAGCTTTGTAAAATACATTTACAGCAAAAGCATAGTAAGGAGTGTTAAACTCTTCAGAGCATAAAGAATTATAGGCCACTGAGAGAAAACAGATTTCTTTCATAGATCCGTCACCTTCTGGTCATTTTTGTACCCTGGGACTACAGTCAAGCATTCTACATTTTTTTCTTTTTCCTTTTTTTTTTTCTGATTTCTGTAGCAATCTGACTCCTCTGGTGAATCAATCAGTCAGTTGTGAAGCCAAGAACCTTTCAAGGACTTATTTAATGCAAAGCAATGTGCTCACTGCTTGCCGCTCCCAGGGTCTAGCACTTCAAGGGGTCATATGCACACATGCAAAGCGAGTGAAAAGTAGGTGTAGGACATGAACAATTTGCTTTGGTTGAATTTCAGAGACTTCATGCTCCCTCTTCACTGCTGTAAATGAGTAAGGCACTGGTGAAAGCAGATTGGGTTTAATGGTTCAATGTCTCTTGAAAGAGGCTGTTACAATTAAGACTGTGACAATTAAATAGCATAAAAAATATAAATTGGTTTGCAGCAACATCCTCTTTTTCTATGGTGAAGGCATTCAGCCAGTGTAGCAAAGAAAGGAATCAAGAAAGGGAGAAAAGAATTGAGCTCAGCAATGTAGTCTTTTTAGTGCTTTGTGTGCTTGGCAGTACGGAGGACACATGAAATAGCCAGTTCATTCCAACTGGGAAGTCTGTACAATAGCTCCTAAGCAGAAGAGCCCAATGATTTGCACCTCTAGGCCAAATGCAATCCCATAGCATGACTGAACACCTCACCTGTTCCATAGAGTAATAGTTGGGTCTTTCTAATGTTGCTAAGTGACTTTTCAGCCAGATCAGTTCTCTGCTTTGCTTCAGTGCATGCCTTCATAAAGAGCAGCATTTAAGTTACTTTTACTCATCAAAGCAGGTGTTTTAGAAAAACAAAATCTACACAGTGGATCAATCTGATAAAATTACGATAAGATCAAGTAATTTAATTTATTTTGTCACCATGCAGTAAAATAGGCTGCCCTACCATTAAAAATTTACTTTTCTTTGTTATAATGGCTAGCCTTATTAACTGGCTGTCAGCGATTACTTAATGAAACCTTTGTTTATTTTATTCTCTTAAGTTCTTTAATTATTATCAACAGAGAGGTTTAATTTCATGGAAGATAATTTTGAAGATTTTTTCGATTTTGATCTTTCAGACTAATCTTTTGACAGCATAATAGCTGTTTCAAAACATAGACCAAATTAGATTGCTATACCAATATATAGCATGCTATATCAACATATAGCCAGTAGAGTATTTTCTGTGATATATGAAGATCATAATTCAGGTCTATATTCTTATTTGGGATTAAAATTTTAATATGGTACAGTAAAGTTTCCGGACAATAAGTATAGATAATAATCTGTTGAATTTACCTGTATAGCTACCCAGAGTGGTTCTTGTGCTCAGAAATCTACAGAATTGCACAACTATCCAGAACACACTAAAGTCTTAATATTTTATTAATAATTTTGTTATTAATCCAGATTCCCATATCTTGTATTTTCCAGGTATACTTTACTTTAGACTACTGAAAACACTTATTGGTTTATCCAGAAGCACCCTGCCATCTACAAGAAATCATTTTTATTAATATTTGATACTCCAAGGAATAAATTATGATAATAAAAACAAATGGAGGGAGTTCTGTAGTCTAAAATCTCTATTATAAACCCCAGCATAAGTATATATATGTACCTTAAGTTATGTGCCCTTTCAAGGGTTTCTCCGACAACAGGCGTTTTTCTGTTCTAAAGAGTCAACTCATTCCATTTGTGACTCCGTGTAAGGTCCACCTACTGTTGACAGGCTAAGCATCACCTTGAACGTGAAACTAAGGCAACACAAATGCAGACTCACATGATTACATCATGCTCTTTTTGCAATGCCGAGTCTTTCAATGCTACTGAAAGCAACTGGAAAGCGAACATCTAGACAGTCCTTTATGTGCATAGTAAGGATATTCATAGACACTAAGACAAAAAAAATTCTAATATGATAATCTAATCTGACCTGTGTATACAGCACACAGGATTTTCCCCTGGATTTAAACTGTCATTTAGAAAGACACATCACCTCACTTTAGTAACTGCAAATTTATTGACATCCTTAGCTTGTGGTTACAATACTTGAGGCTCCTAGTTTCTAAGAAATAAAATTTAATCATGTTTTCATGAACTGCCTCTTTTCCATTTGTGTATTTGCACACAAATATCTAGTAAACTCCAAGCTTCCTAAATCAACATCTTTGGCTGAGAAGACAGCTAGCAGGGTTTCCCAAGCCCTGATTTATTTTTAGCCATTCCCTGAAATTTCTCTAGGAACTCCAATCCTTCTTAAGGGTTGGGTACAAAAACTGCATTTTTCTTGACACTATGTGGAAGAATTACTTTGCCTTCATTTTAGGAATTCAAGGAATGCTTTACCCTTTACTGTGACAGCATTATGTTGAGAGCTCATGCTGAGATGATGTTGCAATGAGCCTAAATCCATTAGGTCATTACTTTCCAGGACAAAACCTCATTATTTTACAGAAGAGACAGATGCTAGATATATTTCATTTGGTTCAAATATATCTCATCTGGTTACAGTAAAATGTATTTTACTGGAATGTGGCCATTTTACCAGAGGATCTGTATCACTTAATAACTTCAGCTTGTCCTTCCCAACAATTATCCCAAACTGTAAGGCCCTAATGAGTCCCATTCATCTACATCTTCCCATTAGAAACTCTGTTTTTGATTCATCACTGAGTTTTTAATGTACTTAATGTGTGCCCTGATAAGTTCCTCTGACAATTTAAAAATTAAAATGTCATTTATTATTACATTAGATGTCTTTGGGAATCCAAGATAACTGGAATAATGCAAGTTGAAGGAAAAAAATTCTTAGTTTGGAGAAAAAGTGACCTCCAGCCAAGAATATGCCTACAGAAGCACCCCTTAGAGGTATACAATCCTGAATGGTATCCCATTTCCTAAGTGGAAATGGAGCTGGCTTAAGTTGATATACCTAGTTAGGATGCTGATATGGAGAATCAGAAAGAAGGAAAAAAAAAAAAAAAGACAGCTCTTTAAACTTGTGGTGAAGCTGTAGTCTCTAGACAACATGTATTTTTTAACACATGTGCCCACAGCAGTAATTGGGAAAGTGACTCACAGCCCAAAGCAGACCAAAGCCTAATAGCACTTCCTAGAAAGGTTATGTGGGATGAGGAGATGTTCCTGGCTGACTTTTTACTCCAGTTCATGTTGCAACCCTTCAGAAATTTGGTGAAAGGAAGGCATCAGTAAGTTTCTCATAATTTTGGGGAATCTCAAATTAAAGCTTCCAAGAAGTTCAATCTAGATGAACTTGTCCCACTTTTGGGACAAGGAAAGCATATTTTTGGTGAATTTACTATTCATCATGAAAAATCTATGACTATAAATATTAAGTTCTTACTAACAAGACCTATAATTGAGTAATGATCTTTGTGCAGTGTCTTACAACTAGCTTGTTCCCTAGAGATAGAAAATCTAGTCTTGTCCTAAATTCATACCTCCTGAAAGAGATTTTTCCAGTGCTGGCATATTCCATCAGAGCACAGAGAACAATACAAGTAGCCGAATTTAATTAGTAGAAATGGAATGTGCTTGTGCCACTGTTATAAATATTGCAATCAACTGTTGCTGCTCCAATCCTGATTCTGTCACTCATACTAAAGAGAACTAGCTCCAGTGAAAGGAAATTTTCTCTAACAAGAAAATTTTCTCAACAAAGAGGCATTCCAGCACTACCCTCTTCTTTACTAGCAGTTTATTTAAACATTTATCTGCATAATTAATCAAGAAAGATAACTGTTTAGCCATATGAGTTTGCTCCGTATAAGGAATTGTACCAATTGATAAATACTGAAAGTTTGGAATTATCTTGGAACACAACCTGAATTTCTTTAGTCTGCAGAAAAAAATGTCTTTGATTTCTTCAGTCTTTTTGTTAGGTAGACATCTGGGTAGAATGGGAAAATTAAGGTTTTATTCAGTACCTGTTGAACTCATTGGCTGAGTGTTTCAAGATCAGTACTTGAATGAATGGAGTGGAAATCCTACTTTTTCCCCAGCAATTAGTTTTGATTTGTCAAAAGTAGACCTTCCACTGCAAACTCTTACAAAAGAATGGCAGAATGACAAAATATTTAATTTACTTGCTATAGATCAGTAGGTAGAAATATTCTCCATTAGCCCAGCTAGAAATAAGTATCTGTTGCTGCTGCTGGAAAGTTGAAGTTTGAGTGAAATGATAGAAGGCACAACATTTTGTATGCCAATAATTACGGAAGCTGAACTGCATTAACCAAATATGGGCAAAACAATATATCCATATCTATGTGACTACTTTAATATGGATTAAACAAGCAGAAAGTTCCCTAAGATTCCAAGTCATTCACTTTTCACACACATCTGACAAATTGATAGATTTCAGGTAGGAATACTCTACATCCAGAAATTTGCTTTGTAGATTTAGGCAGCTGAGATTTCAGCAGAATCTGTCCTTTGGACAGTTTGTCAAATAAGTTCCTTCCAGGGCTACATCAGTCAAATTACCCCAGAAAATTATCTTTTCAGTGTGCTAGTAAGTCAGTGATACATTAGAAAATGTAAGCAATATTTACAAGACCTGTTTTCAGGGAGAAATTAAGGTAGAATTGATCTAAATTTCTTCTCATAAAAGCTGACTAACTAATGTTCTGGTGATTGGAGATGCAGCTCTTGTTTCCTTGTGTCAGTACTCCATAAAGAAGAAAACTGCTTTTGCCAGCTCTATGTACACTCACCAAATAAAATGCATTGTGGAAGTGGTGCGTATTCTCTCCAGATCTTTCTTTCTGTGAAAAGAGCGATCTTCAGGCATCCTCTGAAAACTCTCTGGGGAGAATCAGCACACAAGCAAAATACTAAAGGTAATAACGGAGAACTGTCTTCCAAATGACAGCTGAGGAGAAAACACACGAGGCCTGTCTACTGTTCATACTGCTTTGTTAGTGACTCTGAAACCACGGAACCAGAGAGTAAGTTTTGGGTGAGAACAAGCACACGGCCTGGACTATTTCCACTCCTCTGTGCTCAACATGTACAGAATATCAAGAGGCAGATTCCTAACAAGCAGAAGAGATTTAGTTATTGTATGCAATTAAAAAAACTACTGTTGGTTCTCATTTTTAATCACAAAATTTACACTATAAGAGCAAATAATTTTCTCTCTATTTCTCCCTCTCAGTCACAAACTCAATTAAGCATATAAAGAGAGAGAGGTTTGCTGAAAAAATCAGGAGTGTTTCTTGCAATATTTTTCTTCCCTTTTTTAACATGACTAATCTCCTTTTCTCTGTATTAATTCACATCATTTCTATGAATTCCCACTTGATTTCAATTTTTGTCATGATGCCTTAAAAATAATTGAATTCCAGTAATCTCTGAATGTTTATGGTAAGGATAAATTCTGAAAATGCAGTCAGAGGACCTAAAGGACTTAGAAAGTAAAGTCAACTTTTTTGATTGAAATGCGAATCCTGACAACATTTCCAAGAAAGGAGAATCTTGACAATATTTCCATAAAGCAATATGCACACCAGATCTTTTTTGCAAATGATATTTGTTGGGATTTTGAGATGCTTAAGTAACCCAAACCTGTGAAGATACCATTCCCTTTGAAAACAGCTGCTTTAAACTCTTACACCTGATTACATTTGAAGCTATTATCTCCCCAAACAAGCTTCTTCTAAATTTTCTTGTAGGATGCTAACTAAACATAAGGTATTCATTTAAAACAACTCAGGGTGACTCATACAGAATCTCTTTTTTGTCCTGTTAGTTTTCCCGCTACCTAAAACTAGTTTTACACCTGGCTGCTATTAACTCAAAGAATGTTGTAAATAATGTCCATGTATAATTTATTAAAAGCTGAGTCAAAGAACAGGTGTTGCTATTGTAAAGATTAATTCTGCAGATCTTCGCTCAGACTCATAAATTATGAACTCCTGGGCCCTCCTCAACACTAAATCACATACACATCATCCACACAGATTTACTAACTTTAGGGTAAAAAAGGAAGTATAATTTTGCTGGATGCTCACCCTACAAGCCCTGGCATCAGCAAGTAATTCAAACCCCTCAGTGACTCTCCACTTACTTAGAAACATTTCAGCACCCAGGAATTGGCACCTTCTCTTTGTCAGCAGCAGTAGTTCTGAACCTCACGCTTGCATATGACACCTGCATTTCCCCTCAGATAACCACAATAAACACATTCTTGTTATTTATTTACCATTATTAGATTTCAGATACAGTATGCATTGCTTTGATGAAACATTCTTGTTTTATTATCTTGGTTATATTAGTAGAAAGATTGACCTACTATAAATGGTGCTGCAGATATCTATGCAGAGTTACCAATCACGCAGAGTCTCAAAATCAAGATGTGAGCACGTTACCAATGTAAACCCTGCTTAATAAAGAAACTCTAGTTTATAATCACCTTCTGCGTTCTCTGTGTGCCACATCCAGGCAAAACAATTATTATTAAATACATATCAATAATGAAGTTGTGCAATAGATAGGCACACTCTTAACGACATATCTAACCTCTTTAATGCTCTGGAGGGAAGACTGTTGCTTTTTTCTCTATTCTTCCAATCTATCACACTGGGTAGTGGCAATTATCTATCAGAATTAATATAAATCAGCAGTGAAAATACAGAGGCAAATTCATGTCCATAGGAGGGGCAGGTACCAAGCTTTCCCTTTGGCAACACCTATGGTGAGCTTCAGCCCTAAGATAAGTGAAAAGTTCAGGTTCAGGCCAAAGGGGATTTACCAGTTTTCTACTAAACATAGTTGGAACTTCACGTTAACACTGAAGAAGTACTAGGTATATTTTTGAGAATGTAAGTATGTAAATGTCATAAAACCTCATAATCAAATCAGGGGTTACTTATGAATTTGTGAAATTGTTATGCAAATAGAAAATTCTTTGATTTTTGAATGGCATAACTAAAAAATATATTCAGGCATGATTACCCAATTCTTCCATTGCATGAAGAAACTGGCTTTTTCTTCTTTTAACTATGCATGTTTAAAGCATTTTTAGTTGTAGCTATTAAGTTTTCTAAACGGCTGAAAAAACAGTTCATTCTTAAATATATCACCTAAAATATGTTAAGAAATAGTACATATCTTCATCCTTGAAGATCACAAAACTACCACAAATTAAAAAGAAATTGCAAGGACTTCAATTTTTCAACAAAACTATTTCTAGGCACTGTGTAACCAGGTACAACTTGTTAAAGCTTGAATGTATTGCAATTTGTAGTGGGTTTCTTGTTCTTACCTGTTCTCTCATTTAGGTTATGACCCTGCTGACCTTTACTTGCATGATTAGACAACCTTCAAAGAGTTCAGGATATTAGGGACTACTTGTGTGGTTAAGAACCACTTTTTCTTACAGAGGAATTTAAAATAATTCAGGCAAAACAGAGATAATGGAGTCACAATCTTGAGACGAAAGGATGAGCTTCCAGAGCTACTGTATTTTTCCATTTCCTTTTTTTTTTTTAATCCTGTCAATTCAGATTTACTACACAGAATATCTATTTCTATTTCATGTTCTTTCTCTCTTTTTTTTTTTTTTTCCTGGAACAGCTACTTTAAAGCATCAGCACAAATTCTTTCACTTAGTTAAGTAAACTGTAGTTTGGGATCATCCTGTCAATGTTCAATGACTGCAGAAATGTTTATGTAAATCATTCCTGTTAAGTTCAATACTTCAGCCTGTATATGAACAAGTATACTTCATCTGAACAGGCATGACTTCTCTGTAGGGTGTAAAAAGAATCCAATGTTTGTGTTGTTTTGACATATTATCAGCTCCTAACAAGTATACTTACATTTGTCTTGGTCAGCTTCTACTCCTTCATTTTCTGTGTCACTCGGCAATATCCAAGGTTGATGAGCAAGCTGAAGCTGTTGTAAGAATTCATCCTGCCATAAACAGATCTATTTTAGATAAAGTGACACAGAATTGTCTTGTATAATTACAGCAAACACTCTACCCTCAACTAATCACAGAGGAGAAAGCCTTTACAGCTTGCTGGCAGTAAATTGTTGATTTAGACAGATGTTAAGAAAAATACAAAAACACCAAGTTCAGGCAGGAGATCCCAGCCTTAGGCTTGTTTTGTCATTTTAAATGTTCTCAGCGTTAGAGGCGGTTGCTGACTGCAGCACTGAATGGGGCCAAACCTTTTTGTTCAGGGAACATGATTCTTGAAGTAGGAGCAAGTGGTGCTCACACTCATCAACACACTTTATTCTTTCAAAAACACACAGCAAAGAACTGAGAAAGGCAGCAGAACAGAATAGAAGCATCTGACCCCAGAAAGAGTTCTTATGACATTACGGTGTTTTCTATATTCAGTAATCCAGAGGGATACTTCTGTGAATCAATGTTGTAACAAGCTAAAGCTTCCTGCTGTTAACAATGACAGATCAATAAACATACTGAATGCCACCTTAAACGATCTGGATAAATGAAAGGTTTGTAAAATTCCCAGTGTTCAGAAAATTACTGGCAAATGAGGCGTTGAGCAGTATTTTCATCTCAAAGAACTATTGGAGAATGGTGTCACTCTGGCAGAACCTATCCTGAAGAGAGAAGCTGGACTCAGCTCTCCACTGTCAAGCTATACAAAACACCAAAGGAACAGTAAATGCAAGGAAGTATCTCTGAAAAAGGATTTAGAACCCTGATTTATTAGTTTTATAGAAACAATAAAAATATTTCTCTAGGTAACTTTTCTTTGCTATATTCAATTCAGCCTTGAATAGGGCTGATAATAAAACACAGCTGTTGGAACAATTGCAATACATGTGCCAAGAGGCAGAAACTCATGCACAAAACCTCAGATCAGTAGAAGTCTCTAGCATTATTCTTAACACTCAATCAAAATTCTTAACAGCTGAAATGTTAAGTACTTGCCAAATTATTTAAGAATTTTGTTACGACGAGAGTAAATCATCTTAAGCTACAGCACAGACTTTACTAAAATTTAAGGCCTCTCCCTGAATTGTATTTATTTATTCGCTTATTGTATTTAATAGTATTTTTCTATTTTGGACTTCTTATGTTACTTTGAAATACATTACAAAATAGGAAGCATACATCAAGCAATAAGAGATATGTTAAAAATCCTGAGAACTGAACTAGGGATAACATGAAGATTCAGAATTCAAGCTCTTTATGATAAAACTTGCTCCTTGTATTCAGTCATTGCATTCTTGTCAACTGACTCATTCTCTTCAAAGACGCACCACTTTGTAATGACTTATTCCACTAATGTCAATAGATATGTCTGATTAACACCAGAATAAGAGGAAGGAAGCAGCAACTTCTTTTCAAAATTTTATCATAGTATTGGCAATATAACCACAATGCATTCACATATAACTTTTTTTTTTCATTTACACCATAAGTAGTCTACGAAGAAGAGAGGCAATTTCCCTTTTATTTTACTCTTTTTATACAGGAAGGGGATACAAAGCCTGCAATGAAAGTTGCAAAATAATATACAGTTGTCAGCTTCTAGTTTTATATGTTTGTAATATGTCAAAGTACAAAGAAATTTGCTATTCTTCCCCTACCCAAGCCCACTTTTACTTCCACTTTTGAAAAATTGTCTCCATGGCTAAAGGGAGAAGGGAATAGAATCACACGGCCACAAAAAAGAACAGCAAAACAAAACGAAACACTTTCTAACAGCAAAAAGAAAAAGGTGTCACTGAACAGAGACACTTACTCTGCATGATCTGTCCACACCCAGTTCTCTTTTTCCAGATAACTGAGAACAAAGGTGGGAAAGACTCTTTAAAGAGCTTCTAAAGCTTGTAGGACAAGACTTCAAACATAACGTGGCAGTGGCCAATTGGCCAGACCTTCAACCGCTACTTTCCAAGAACTGAGGGCCTTTCCAGCTTGGATCTTCATCTTGAGTATGAACATGTCATACCAGCAGTTTGCCTCTTCAGATCAGAGCTAGTCCCAAAATCAGTTTCTGTTAAATCAAAGATCATTTGTGTACTTGTCAGGAAAGAATAAACAGCCCCAATGTTGGGCTGGGTCACTACCAGCAAGTATACTGCTGTATTCCAGGAGCAAAGAGAAAGACAATTTAGCACTTCTAGAAGGCAACAGAACAAAGGACAAAATTATGGACAGAAATGCTGAGATTTAACACCAGCTTTACAGTGGGCTTGCTGGATAAAATTGGACATGTTAATTACATATAAAATAGGGCAGTAGTATTGCTTTTTAAGTACATGAAACATATTAAAAAGAATTTATGACATTTACTGTAAGTAATATCAGAAAAAAAAAAGTTTGGGATTTAGCAAATAGAAGTTACACAAGTATCACATCACATAAATCCATCTCACAAGTGATTATTACTATAACTACAAAAAGGCTGTGGAAACAAGCATTTTAATTGCCTTCATTATTACAGAAAACATCAGAAGTGAATGAGAGCTTGGACAGCATTTGGTGGCAATACAGTGCTAATTATATGGCACTTTCAGGATTCTGTACATAATTAAAGCTGGCATCATACAACTAGACATCAGTTAAAAGCAGGGCTGGTTGAAAAAAAAAGTAAAGTATTTAGCAGAAAGTAAAGAATCCCTTCATTTCTTCTGAACATTTTTAGTTAATCAATTTTAACTTTTTCATGTTCATGTTTCATGTGAGAAAATTCTAACAGAAAAATGATGCACACCCCCTCAAAAAAGAGGGATGAAAGGTTTTTGTTCATGCCATTTACATTTTTTTCTCAGAAAATTTCCAATTTGAAAATATACGAATTGTTAGTTGAGATACTTTCAAATGAACTGAGGCAGCATCAGTTCTCATGTCTTCAACCAGATATCCAGTTCTGACTGAAGAAGTAGCTTGGGTGATGGAATTAATGCAGCGCTATTCAGAAACTAAAATAAGGTATTTTTCTCACCATCAAATTTAAGTAAGACTTATTCCATAATTTCTATAGCTTTAGAGTTATTGGTGGCCCATTTCCTCTTTCTCATAACACATAATGGAGGTCACACATATAATTGCAAGCTTATTCTAGGTAATGAGTTGAATTTTCCTACATTTTTCTCCAAGTAATATTATTATAAGGAACTTTTGTTTTACTTTAAAATAAAATTATTAGTTTGATATAACATGCATTATGTCAAATGTCACATTAAACACATTTTTGAAGCACTGATCTCAAAAAAACAAAAAGTATTTTTTCAATCTTGAAAAAAAGCACCCCGGGCTTTCACAAATGGATTAAAAAGTTGGTAAGCCATGGTGGCAAATGACTTGTTTCACCTTAGCCATTTAGAAACTAGGAATATAGACATATAGGTCCTTCTCAAGTCAGTGGAGAAGGGATAGCATTTCCTGAGATTAACTAACACCTTTGTAAGGCAAGTATTCAAGACGGCTAAGGCAGCTAAGGTTAGTGAAGAAGAATTCTACTCAAAATTCACAAGGCACTAACTTCTGTTTTTATGCAAACAGTAATTCTGGGAAAACCAATTAATAAGAAACGAGAAGTTTCTATGCTCTGAACCAAGTTAGTCAACATGCATGAGAGTTCTGGATGGTGACAGTAATGTTGGATATATTCTTGCTGCAGGTCAGTTTCGCATTTTGAAAAATCTGCCAATTTAATGGTGTCTAAATAACCACTTCAAAGTGCCAAAGAAATGAAAAAATAAGGCAAATCAAGGAAATCTTATGCCTTGTCATTATAGCAGGAAGAAGTTGTGCTTAATATTCCACACATATGCATGTCTCAGAAACAGTAAGGCAAATGAAATTGCTATCTATAATGCAGTCAAAACTCTACTGAGCTCATGAAATATTTGGGGGACAAGCGTGTTTCAAGATGATTTCTGTAATAATCCTGACATTCTCCAACAGCTTGACAGCTTGAATACCTTTCACAGCTGAACAGTATTTCCTTGACAATTTTCTTATCATTAGGTTTAAGTTTGTCACTGAATAATAAGCTATATTAGGCATATTAATAATACTTTAATGCAAAACACGAGCCAAAATAACTCTAGTCTTCATGTTAGAGTAGCTCTTAACTATAGCAAAAAACATTAAATTGAAAATCTTACTTCTGATAAACTGCTTCTCTGAGTAGTGACAGTTCCAACAATGTCTCCACTCATTTGCACAGAGAGCCCTGAAGCAGCGCTGAGGGTCCTCCCCAGTTGGCTCTTAGATGTCAGAGATCTGCTTCTTTGTATACTAATGACGCCTTCCTTATTTCCCTGGTTGATAGGAGTAAGGGGTCGTGACAGCAAGCTGTTTGGGGTCACAGGTCTGCTTCCCGGAGTGGACGGAGTCGGAGGCCTATTGGCTTGTGCGTTGGGCGTGGGAGGCCTGTTGTTCGCCATACTGGAGACCTGTGTTCTGCTGTTAGCGGGCAATGGAGGGGATTTGTTTCCTTGGAGGTGAATGTTTTTCCCCATTTGAGTTGATACCTGAGGCCTTGGATTTTGGCCTTGTGTAGCTTGAAAATTGCCTGGATGGTCAGATGTAACTAAACTAGGATGTTGGATACTAGGACTTCTCAACAGTCTTGCTTCTTCCCATAGTGCTAGGTCCTTTTCAATATCTGTACATGTAGACACACACACAAAGACAAAAGCATTTTTTTCCTTTTTTTAACAAAGAAACTCAACTCCAATTCCACCTAAATGGATTCACTGGATTCATTGATTTTTGCCAATATAAATGAAAAGTGCCAAAATTTCAAGGTGGGAAGAGAAAGTCTACTTACCCTAAAAAATCAAAGATATGCTACATTTAACATTAACTTATTTTATAATAACATTTTGGAACCAAGAAAATAAGCTGTACGAGCTTCACAATTGTAGTCTCCTAGAAGATATTCCACACATTTAAAATGCTACTATTAAAAACCATG